AAGCCCAACTGGCTCATAGCTATTTGTACTTTACTCTGGTTTCTACTCCCCCTGGGTAGAATGTTAGTTCATTGCAGATTACTCTCCAGTATTTTGGACATCAGGCTGCCCCAATAATAAATATTCATTGCTGCCAATTTATACTGCTGGGGAAGAGAGGCACTGTGAGTCTTGCCTATGAACACAACACAGTGATGCCGCCCAGGGCTTAAACCCAGACTGCTCGATCTGCTGTCCAGTGCAGTAATCATTAGGCCATCATTCCTCTCGCAGTTTATTTACATGTACATTTACATGTACCCTTTGCACCTTGCTCCCATGGCATCAAAATCTTCTGCAATGACAAGGAATCTTTTTTTTTTTGCTGAGAAATAATTAAAAATTTCTGAAAGTTGATTTGAACACAAATTTATAATATAAATCTAGACATTCCACCCTGTGTATAACTTGTTTGGAACAATCAAGAAGCCTTATCGATAAAAGTCTTATTAATTTTGTTGAAGCTTACATGTATACATGGAATTGCTCGCTGCATGTGTAGCTCTTAAACTAGTCAGCTAAAGAGGTAAGGTGCAGTTTCTCAAATGAGATGCTGCATACATTTGCATAATGTAGACATGCATGTCCTCTGCTGCATCTAAGTCACACTGAGGAAAACCTGTGGCTTATTGAGTAACTTTTTAAAAAAATTCTTGTAATTTGTAAACTGAAAATAAAACTAAAGTTTATGATTAGAAACATAATTTGCATGTTGATAAAGATGGCATGTTTGCTACTACTACATTGTATGATCATAAACTGTAACAATTTGCACATCGAGTTATTGATCCTTTGGATGGTTTGAGCCTACCTATTGTTCAATACCAGTTGACTCCACCCTCCTGGTTTAAAAGGGCATGTTGACCCAGACTGGGGGGGAGGGGGGAGACTACATGGTGGTCTCATAGAACCAACCAGACAGTTGATTCTATGTGCTAAAGCAGGTTCTTTTTCATGCTTCTGTAAAGAATCAACAATGCCTTTGACTTGATTTTGTTTAATCTCTTTTACGCTCATTGGGTTGAAACCTTGTGAACTCAAGCAAACCTTTGCAAACATGGGATGTTTTTCAATGCCTCTTGGCAAATCTCATGACTTCCCATACGTTTTGACTTACACCCATGTAGTGATGAGTTGTTTGTGCCCAGCAGTGATAATAATTAGGCACTTGTTTATTTTGAAGTGCTGGCTTGGGTTTTGTTCACAGGTGGTTTCCCTGTTCATTGTACCTGTGTTGGTTTGACATGTACTTATTTTCACTAATCAGATTGAAAGAACCTGAATTTGCAAACAAGGACACAGGCTTCTGGTTATTAAATGTTAATGGCATGTCTAGAACTCAGTGCAATACTTAAAGCCGATGTGCGGTGAAAATAAATACCAGCAATAACATCTAAACCTCTGCTCTCTCTAGAGTGATATGCCCACAGGAGTAATCTCTGGATAAACTGTAAAAAAATTCTGGCATATGGATTAGGTAGTATGGTAAACCTTGTCAGAAACCAAAATTTAAACTGTTAAATAATTAATCATTGAAACTCTAAATATAAAATTTTTAAACCTAACCAAGTGTTCTCATTACTCTGTTAGCTCTATCCCAAAGTTCATAACACAGTGGTGTTTTAACACGTTTTGGTTACACTGAAGACTCGTGGCTCTGTGGTAATTTTGGAAACTCTTTCTACAATATGGGGGATTTCCCTCTGAATGGTTTGGGCGACTTCACTGGCAAGGCCATGACTGACTTGGATGATGGGCTTTTTTATGGAACAGCAACAGCCCAGAGTCAACCGCTGGATAATCAGCACCTCACCCAGAACAGTAATAGACCTTTTCTTTTGACATTTTAATCTTGATCAGTTTCAGCTTTTTAATATTAACTTTGAGGGTTTTGAATGCTACTATAGTAAACATGACTGTAGTCAAGAGCTGCATTTAAACTTGTTAACCTAAATACATTCAAGTGAAAGTCAATATGTTGCTTTGTTTGTGTAAAAACATGCTGTCAAAAAAGTGCACTTATTTTGAAATTAACCTGAGTTTTTTTGCACGTAGACATGTGCTCTAAATGGGAGTTAAGTTGTATAGGTATTTGTCAATTTAATTTCAATTAGTAAAACTGCAAAAGAAGCTTGAGTAGAAATGAATGCAAAGCTAGTTTAGTGGGTGAGATGACCTGCGTTAACAGTTTACTGACACCAGTTGACTTAACATGTACTTGTATCTTATAGACGAACTGATAATCATAAACATGACATTAAACACAGTAAATGGAGTTTTCATAATTGTGAAAGCAGTGGAGAGAAAGAGTATTAAAAGGTTCTAACCATCTTCATGCATAATAGTAAAAAAATATTGTATTTCATACCTGTACTATCATCAACCTTAAAATCCTGATGTAACTGGGTGTATTTAAATTTTGCTAAGTTGCCAAATGCTATGTTGCATTTGCATATGTACAAAGTAGAATGTTTCCTGTAGTTCACTTTCTGCACACAAATACAACTGTCTGCTAACTGGAACTAAAACAGTGGTGTTCTTAGCGGCTTTTGTTTTTGGTTATGGTTTTCAAGAGGATTGATATGCTTGACAAGGTCGCACCATAGGAGGAAAATGTGTGGAGTGCAAGCCAAGAGAGCCTTTGTTTGAATGAAATAGGCAGCCCAGAGGGAAACAGCTTTCTTCAAGGGTCAGAACATTTTTGTTTTAGTGTGAACCGGGTTCTGTAGGGTATATAGCACCTTTATTGTTCTTAATTAATTCATCATTTCACTGGAGATACATGTGGGTGTCTACTTGTGTTCCCTAGAAGACAAGTGTTGAATGGGGATAAAAGACAATAGGTTTGCTTGTGGCTTTTGAATAATTTAGCTCCAGCATTGAAACAGTGGAAACAAAGACCATGTGTTATTTTCTGTGGTTAGCCTTTTATTTTGACTCTGTTGAAATGGGAGATTAAGGCTTGATTTTCAAAGTTACAAAGTTACACTTCAAACAGGTACACATTAGGGGTAATATGAACACCTAGTAATTATTTGGCTTAGTTTATTTTGGCATAAGATCATTTCGCTTTGAAAATTTCAGCTTTATCTCAACAAGTTTGGTTGGTTTTGTATGCATAATATTTCACGGATTGTGAACTCTTCAAATTTCATGCAAATTTGCACTTTGTGTTGAGGTTGATTTGGTGAGGCCTGCAAGCTAATTTGTATAGTAAATTCATGTGGTACATACGAGATTTACCTCTGATTGATTCTTGAGTGGATTTCACATCAACAAGGCGTCTTAGGTGGTGTTAAATGAGGTGAAGCTGGCTTTGAATTTACCAATAGAAGTGAATCAAATGCAAAGTAGTGTGTTGATAAATAATTCCAATCGGCTTTCATGCTGCTTGTGGACTTAAGCTAGGAAGATTTTGGAGCAGTGGCTAGTGATACATGTGCACATTCCTTACACTGTTAGTAGCAGTTCAAATAAGTAATTTTCAGCTTTAAATTGTTTTCTTGTTAAATTAAAATGATCATACACTTAAGATAGGTGTTTAATTGCACTGGACAATGAGGCTCTTTTGTGAGTGGAGTTTATCCAAGTAATTATGTTGCCACGAGAGGGAAAGTGTTGTTTATGGGAGAAAAGAATTGCGTCTTACTAAATAGTTGTATATGCGGCTTTCTATAAATCTATTAGGCAGCTGTATGGTACATTGTTCACTTTCATGGGCTCTAAATTTATTTCAAATGTAGACATCTGCTTGCATAAGTTTAAAATTGCTTCTTGTAAAATAGTTGTAAATGCTGCTTTCTATAGATCTATTAGGCAGCTGTATAGTGCATTGTTCATTTTCGTGGGCCCTAAATTTAAGTTCACATCTAGACATCTGCTCCTCACAAGTTAGCCGCAATGTATTGTGTCTGTTATTTTGTTTTGTAAATGAAGAAAAATTTGGCTTGTAAGTTGCTTTTATTCTCAAGGTTAAACTCAAGCTTTATAAATTTGTTGAGTGAGCAGAATTTTGTAGAAAATTGTTTTTTAATTTAACTGATCCTTTCTCAGCATGTTACATTGAAAATGTATTTGAAACTGTTTGGACAAGTTCTTTCAAATTCAAGTACTTTCAAATTTTGACAGCAATGACCCTTGTTATTTTCAGGTTTAGCAGCCTTTTTCTGTTGCTATTTTACTACTTTTGAGCAGCTGAAACACCTTATTTTGGCCAACCCAATACTAAAGAATAAAAATATGTGAAATGTATAAATTGTTCAAAATGGTCATTCCTGTTGCTAAGAGTAGATACTGTACATATACATGTACAACAACACTGTGATGCACGGCCTTTGAGACAAGGGTCATTGCAGACATATTTCTAGATGATTCTGGTGCAGCTTGTTGCATTTGTTATTTCTATTGTTTACCATGTAATTCAGTAAGTTACATTCAGGGGTCATTACTTTTGGAAGGTTGTTACTTTTAGAAGCTTGCTACTTTCTGGATCATAGCTACATAGTAGAACCTTGTCTGAGAGCCATCTTGTTTGTAAGCCAGCACATTGCAGTCTGTTACATTTGGCCTGATCAAGAGCCTGGGCAGTCATTTTTCTTTAGCCACAAAGCTCTCACTTTTGATAGCCAATGGTGGATGAAGTAATGAGGTTCTACGGAATGACCAGAAATGGGCAAGACTGTTCTTAAACATGTTTTGATTGGTGGTGCAATGAGCCACATGGATGTACAAAGAAAAGCATAGTGTAGCAGCAGTCATTTTCTCTCTCTGTGCAGTAGAATTTTTTTTTTCATGATGTTTTACAACTAGTGTGGTCAATTGACAGTCGACTTTCTCTAGAATGCAGGGAATAAATTTCACAATAAGGAAGACATTTGGTTTCATAGTATAGGAGCTACAGACCAAAGTTGAATTAGTACATGTTCAAGTCTAAAACATTTGATAATAATTGATCTTTGTAGGTGCTGGAATGAGCCTGAGTATGGAGCGGCACATTCAACAAACCAATGAAAGACTGCAATGCATAAAACAGCACCTCTCCTCACCACAAGGGTTCCAGACATCGGCAAGGGAACTTCTGGAATGGTGTGGGGATGTACGTGCCTTTCAGCGAGCATTTGAGAGCAACTTGATGGGATGCCTCACAGTATGTGTTGCTTTATAACTCCCTTGATATTTTGAAATTCTGATGCAGTTTACTTGACCTTATGACATGCAGGGCTTGATGACAGCCTGTGCAGATTTGCCAGTGTAATGTGGTTTATTGTCTTTTAGGTTGTGAGTCAAGTTGCAGCAAATCCTGGTTATGATTTGGATTTAGGTATGTGTGATATTTTTGTTATTACTGTAAGTGCTTAAGCTAAATTGTTTCATGAAAATCTGGGAAATCGGACTACTAGGTAAAAATTGTTTGGCTCGTAAAACTTGACCTATTGCTAGCCATTATGCCAGTGTGTTTACGTAAAAGTCTGTTTCTAGGCTTGTCGTTGATGACATTATTCTCAAGTGATCAAAATATGAATTCACCTTACAATATCAGTACACTGTCAAGTGGGCAAGTGATGAGAATTAAAAAAGATCATCATTAGGTAGTATACATTGCAGTCTTGGAAGTGTTGGACCCAAATTTCTTCGAGTTGATGGTAATCTGTAAGGAGAATTGATTTGAAATTTACCTACTTGTAGGGAAATATATACTTTTGGTAAGGAGCTATTTTTTTGAGGTCTATTATAATTATGTTTTAATTTTTGGTTTTAAATCACTTAGGCTACAGACTTCTAGCAGTCTGTGCTGCACATAGAGACAAGTTCTCAACAAAGTCAGCAAGTGAGTAACTTGACCATTTGTTAGTTTACAAATTTATCTCATTTTTTCATGGTCTACACTCTTTTAGTATAAGTCTACTAGCATTCTATCATGAATGTTGTTTCCTGATACGCTGTGCTACTCACTATCTATTCTGTGGTAGATAGTAAGTAGCATAACAGTGTGTGCTTGTTAACAAAATGATGGCTGCTTCTTTGCATTTTTGAGGTGCCTGTGAAGAGGATTTAGATAAAGTTTTGAACAACTAGTAGATTTATACTAAAACTCAATTTCTATGCTCTCAATTTCTATGCGTGATAAAATCTCGAGCTCATAATCCAATTGTTAAATAGACCAGTGAAATGTAAAATGTTACAAAATGGCATCACCAAGTAGCGATTAATTGTAACAGAGATTTCTGATCCAGGTTGCATTGATTTAATTTCAAATTGGCATGATTTTAGTGTTTCAAATTTCTAGGATCATGGGCCAGATGTATGGAGACAGATGCAGTGACATCAATATTAATCACTGTGTTTGATTTGACTAGTGAAACAAGCTACTTTCCCTGTTTATGAGCTTAATGAACGTGGATTAATTCTTTTTTTTTTTTTTTTACACTAGCAAACTTGGCTATTTATTAGTGAAATCAGCCTATGGTAACTGTTTCTAGTTGCCTACACAAACCGTAATGGAAGCCCTAACCCTATTAAATGGCACTGGACCATTCTCGAATACTAACCTTGACCCTAACCTCAAGACCTTGGCAAAATCAACATTGTACTGTTTCTTAAATCAAAATCTCTGATGATACTCATTCTCTTGAAATCAACATTTAACTGTTTCTTAAGTGAAATCAAAATCTTTGAGGTTGTGCATTGGCATGCAATCAACATTTTGCTTTTCAATTAAGTAAGTGAAATCAGCATATTGAGGTTGACTGTTGATGTGAATCAGCATTTTGGCGAAATGATTAGTGCTTCCAAAACGTGAAGTGAAACAAACTTCTTTGCTTTTAATATAAAGTGGAACCGGAACTTGTTTTGAGTTTTTTTTTTCTGGCAAATCAGAGCAAGAGGTGGTTATGCCTTCAGTCTTTCAATTAAACCTCTCAATCAGTCATGACCAGTGCATCACAAGTGTGTGGGCAACACGGGCCAGTGAATTTACAAAGTTCAAAAGTCTGGGTCACATCATAAATTATTGTATAAAGCATGCATAGTTTGGCATTACAATACTTACAGTGTATGTTAGCTTGTAAATGGCATTGTGCCAAATAGTTATAATCTTTCTGATTGTTTAACATGCCCTACTACATGTATATGTTAATATAATGTTCTTGTATTTTGTTGTTTTTTTTTTTTCTCTGTGTCGTATCATTAAGGTACTAAGCCATTAAAAGCATAATAATTATGTTGAGTGCATCAACACAAAGTGCTAACAAATGCAGTCATGTAAGTGTCTGGAGTGACAGGAAAACGACCTCATCTAATACATAGAGTATCAACAGTCCTGATCATTTCAATAACATGTACTCTATGAACTGATTTTGTTTTTTGTTGAGTTTGAATGGATCAAAGTGCATGTTGGTGACAGGAAAAAACTATTCAAATGAACACTTAATTAACCAGAAATGACATTATTTATATTTGCCCTGTAAAAGTTCTTAACCTAATATTGACATATAATATTGGTTCTGTGCTATTCACAGCTATGTTAGGCGTGTGGTGTGAAGATCTTGGCAGACTTCTGCTCCTACGACACCAAAAGCAAAGAAATGTTGATACGCAGAAGGCAACAGGCTATCCCACAGGGCCGGCGAACAAGCTCACACAGATGAATCAGTTGAACCAGATGAATCAATTAAATCAGCTTGCCAACAAGTATGTCACCTAGTTATAGCATTTTTTTCAAATTGTTTTCTGCAACTTTTGTTGCGTTAGATTGATCATGCATTAATTTATAACTGCATTCTTTGCCTTCTCAGTGCTTTACTCCCTTTTCTCCTTCATACTTGCTACTAGCATGAATTGTAGGAACAATCTTGGGGTTGCTCTCAAATTGTTTTGTTTTCCTTGTGAAATGGACACAGTCAAATCACCATAAACCACATAGTTAAGGTTACCTTCTAGGTAATTACCATAACACATGCTGAGAGTTCTCTTACATCAGAGGGGCTTGTGAAAAATATTCTGCTCCATTACGCATGTAACATGGTTCTCAAAAATAATAATTTGCAGACACAGATAGAATTAAACATAGGTTTACTAATTCAGAGAAATGCTTCCTGTGGCTTTATTGTGTTAGGCTAGAGAAATTTCATTTATTACACAGTTTAATGAACATACATGATTATGTTAGTGCAGACAACAACCTTAGAGATTAGTGCCATTGATTTATTGGATCATAATTATATAACTACGGTCACAAAATCCTTCCTAAGACAACGGTTTATTATAAATCATTGCGCTCATTTCAGGTCGATACTGTGCATTGTTTTGGAGATAAAATGTTTTGAAATTTGTGACCACCAAGTTTTGCCTGTGTGGCTTAAATGTCACACATTTCACTCTTCTAAACTTTCAGATATAATAAATATTAATTAGTGATATCTAGAGAGTTCTGAAGTGAATAATAATGATATTGATAGTAAAATCCATGTTACTTGTTTTCAACCTTTTCTTTCTGTTAACATGGTTATGAAGAACATTGTTTTTAAATTATGCACATGTATACCTAAAGTTTGGAAAAATTTTATCTAAATCCTTATCCTGTAATCATAAATTCCTTACATATGTTGTCCATGCAAAGCAGCAAATTTTTTTTATATTGTTTGAGACTTTCAATTCAAGTATTGGATGAATTGCAGTGATTTTGTATAATGATGTTGTGCAAGTAAATTAGTTTAGCACCCTATTTCCTTTTGAACTCTCATCATTATGAATTGCATTGTAAAAACATATCTTGCAGTTTCCTTACGTGTACATCTTTGTTCTTAGTAGAAAGTTGAAAGATTGAAGCATTTCATTGTAGGTTTTGAGTGAGTTATGTCAGATTTTCTGTCGTATTGATTGTCGGTGACTTCCAGACTTAGCCGATGCATTATTTTGCAGTGATGCATCAACCGTCATGTGGCCACAGACTACACAGGGTCACGGTCAACAGCAGCCTTCCTTGTCTGTTGTGACAACAGTGTGGGGTGTCACATCATCTATGACAAATGGAACAGCCAACATGACACATGACCCAACTAATCCAGGCATTCCAACAACAAACACTGTCAACTCTGTGGGACATCCATATCTTTCAACCTCTGCAAATCCTAAACAATATGCACAATCAGGTAAAGATTGAAGTCATCTTTCTGGTACATCTTCATAACAGTACACATTGCAAAGGCCATGTAGTTAGGAAAAATGTTCACATTACTGTCTTTAAGTAGCTGTGAGGTGTTGTGCTATATTTAAAGTATAATTTGCATGTATGTTCCTCATTGAATTTGGAATAAACATGGACTCAATTTAATATTTGCACTCACTTCCCACTTGCAATTTTGACCAGGTTTTGGCAAATAATTTGCTCCATGCTGTTGAATTGAAAGAAGCTTTGATAATAACATTATATCATTATGCATCAACAGGGCAGTGGGTTTCCTTAAGCAATCTTAAATTTCAAACAGGCAAACATCATAAAGTATACGCTTGTTAATTTAAGGGAAAAACAGCACTCTTAAGTTTAACAAACATGTTTTGTTAGATACTTCTGCCATCTTCAGTCTGAATTGAACATAGTGTGTGGTAGAATATAAATAGTGAAAAATGACATATTCTTGATTGTTTATGTTCTTCAGGTGGGTATCCAGCAAGACCAGGAAGCAGGTTACCTCAAGAAACAACACCCACCGCAGCACAAAACTACATGCAGAGGCAGAACAGTTACCCTGCGACTGCGAACACACCCAGTGTACCTCCAGGAAGTAACCATTATTACTCCCAGCAAAACTCTGTTCCACCCAATGCATCCCCCTTTCCACAACCCACTGCTAATCCAGCAGCAGCTGCAGCAGCGGCTGCAGTTGCAGCAGCAGCAGCTACAGCAACAGCAACTGCTACAGCGACTGCCACAGCTGCCCTTCAGGATCAGCAACAAATGGGTAAGTGCTATCTTAATGTGTAATTTCCTCTTGGTGAACCTATTATTTGAAGCTATTGCTTCACGGATGTGCGATGATTACATAAGCATTTGACTACATTGCCCTTATTTTAAAAGGCAACTTACTGGTATAAATGAATTCAAAAGGTTGGATCAACCTGGCAGAATGTCTTTGTATATATGTAGTTCAATTTTGGTTTTTCATGATTTCGTTTTGCAGGAGAGTATGGATTCCCCCCAGGACAAAACCAGTATCCTCCCAATCAAGCTGGTCACCCGCAACATCCACCACCACCTTACCAGCGTAGCAACAGCTTTCCTCAATATCCACAGCCATTTTCACAACAACAGCAGCAACAACAACAACAACCTGGAACCCAACAGGGAATGCAAAAACCTAACTCAAACATGAGCAGGGCACAATATTTGCAGGAGTTTATGTTAAGAAAACAGCAACAGCAGCAACAACAGCAAATGCAGCAGCAGCAACAACAGCAAATGCAGCAGCATTATAAGCAACAATATCCTGGGCAGTATGGGGTAAGGTGGTTTGTTGACTGCTTGATAATAGTAGGAATACTGTTAGTATCGATTTGATTTAGTACCCTTCTTCCAATAAGCACCCCTTTTCTAATGAGTGCTTCTGTAATCGCCCCCATATCAAAAGTAATATTCAATACAGTAAAATCTAAAAACATTCTCTGGCTAAAAGTATATAAAAAACCCAGGCATTTGACTTTAGACAGTCATTAGCCTGGGTTTTTTATATACTTATAGCTAGAGAACATTTTTAGATTTTACCACGATTCATCTTAGCTGCGGCCCTTCTAAAATACATTGACATTCATTTTAAAACAGACTGATACTGGCAAATGAAATATAAAGTCTACTTTCTCATCTGAAGGCAATACTGAAAATGTGCTTGCTTTCAAGTGCTTGTATTTTGGCTTCAAATAATCAAATGATTTTTAGAAAGGTTCTTACAGGAACTAAGACAAAACTTTGAAAAAATTTGATTGACAGTCTATCATGAAAGTATGAAAAAATTAGCGTGCAATGTATTGAACCAAATGGTGAAAATTGATTCTTTGCACTATCTTGACCAGGCTTGGTTTGTTAATACAATGAGATTGTCCTTGAACTCAGCATTGGTGTTGGTCATTCTCATTTCTCAAGTTTACAACTTGTCATTTGTAGACAAAAAGAAAGGTTGAACTTAGTTTGACCAATGTGTTTCTGCAATGATTTGGGAAGAAAGGAGTGGTTTAATGTTAAAATCAGTCCTCTTTTTGTTGGGAAGCGGCATATACAAAACTTACAATATACAGTGGAACGCCTTGCTAATTTATGGCTCACTTCTCCCTTTCTTTTCTCTTTTTGCTCTAGCAACAGGGTGGCTATCAAATGCCTTCCTACCCAGCACAGAGTGGCTACCAACAGCAGCCGACACCACCCCCTCCTTACACACCTAGCATGAGTCCCATGTCACAAATTAACCAACAGATGGGTCACATGATGCAGGGAAACTCAGTCAACCAAACAATGGGACAGTTGAACCAGCCAATGGGAGCACAGATGGGCCAAATTCCACCCATGGGGCCAGTAAACCAGATGTCCCAAGTCAGCCCCATGGGCCAAGTGCCTCAAGTAGCACAGACTCCGCAGGTCCCACCAATGGGCCAGGTGCCCCAACCAGGGATGTATGGTTCTCATATGCCACAACAAGGACCACGCCCCATGGCAAGACGGCGCAAAAGTACGCTTCAGTACCAAAACTCTTCAATGGCAAATGCTTTATCTCCACCAGTCACACCAGGAGCTATACCTAGCCCCTACATGAGTATTAGTGACGCCAGCGGTAATCCTTCAAACTGTTATGACATTAAACCTCAGATTGTTCCTAACACTTCTCCGCCACAGGGTTACGAGGACATCAAGCCTCCAAGGCTAAATAGTAAGTAGGTAGTAGTAAATAGGGAGGCTTGGTGGTGACCACTGTTTGGTACGTTGTAGGCTTCTTAGAGATTGATTTGTTTTATAGTAGGGCCTTAGGGCTCAGTGCATGGGTCACCCTATGTTGAAACAGAAATGCCCTCAAGCATGGGCTGAGAGCTTACAAAATGACATGAAATCATTAAATGATTCCAGACCGCAAAATATAATTTAAACATGTTTTTATGTTTGCAATACATGTTTCAACAGAAATGCCTGTCACTGTCAATTACAAAACCTGTGTTAACTTTGAGTAATGGTGACCTCCATTTTGTTAGATTCTCTCTCTTTCCAGTTTCCTTTCCATGCTACTTGTACACAGTTGTCGTTGTTCTTTAGTTGTTACATGCAGTTGATGTCCTTTGCGGTTTTATATTATGTTATTCAATTGTACAAAAACAATGACTATTGTTATATAGCTGGAGTTCTTCCTGAACAGCCCATGCTTTCATTGGCTACTTTGAGGTCACATGACATTTAAGAATAAAACTGTTTTCTGCAAATTTCAACCTTTAACCACTGTGAGACGATTGGTTGTCATGTTGCATCCTCTTTTGTCTTTATTGTACTTTATAACAGATAACTTAATGACTGGTATCATGGAAAACCAGTTGATTTTGTTTCTCTGGAATTTCATTGTTTCTAGAGTCTCAGGAGACAAAAGTAACTGTTTCCTTTAAGAACAAATTAAGTGTTAATTCTCACCAAACAGTGTTAAAGTTAACATTATTTAAATTTGCACATGCTTTGTAACTTTTGAAAGGTGTCTTGTCAACTTTTGTGTAAAAAAAAAGGTTGTGCGTTTTCTGTAAGTCATTACTAGCCTGCTCTTGGCAAAAATACAACGGAAGAAAAGGTCTCTGTATTGCAAAATTATTCTTTCGTACTAATTTTTATGACTTCAACCAACAACAGCACCTTTATTTGTACACACTCAGCTAAAATTAAATGAACAAAAATAAGTTTAAAATAAAAGAAGAGTACATGGCTGCCCGAAATAACCTTAATGGACTAGTAAGACTGAGTGGCCATCCTTAGTGATTCAAAGCAATTATTTGTTTGGTTCAAATATGAAGAGAAAAGCCGGAACAATAAACGCATCACAAATGATTTGCCTTAAGCCGGAACAATTAACACATCACAAATGATTTGCCTTAAGCCGGAACAATTAACACATCACAAATGATTTGCCTTAAGCCCGAACAATTAACACATCACAAATGATTTGCCTTAAGCCCGAACAATTAACACATCACAAACGATTTGCCTTAAGCCCAAACAACACTGTTGTCTGTTTTCTGGTTTGTTTCACTATCCCAAGGTGTAATTCCATATACTTGTGTAGCTTTTTGTCATTATCTTCATCACTTTAGTCTGTATGAAGATCACTGACCATCTGTGCTTTAACTTTCAAAACACACACCACTCAGCTTGGCTTAGCTCACTTTTATTTTCTTGGTGGCTGGTTTCCTTCACAAGTTACTTATCATGGTTATTTCTTTATTGTAGCTTTATCAGGTGAAAATGATGTGATAAGATTAACCTTCCCTGTGCGAGATGGCATTGTGCTAGCTCCATTCAGACTGGAGCACAATTTAGCTGTCAGCAATCATGTGTTCCATCTTAGAGACTCTGTTCATCAGACACTTATGATGAGGTAATGTTTTGAGCAATTTTTAACATCACAGCAACATGCGCACAAAAGTTTGTTTGCTAGGGTTTAGTTGGCAGGTCACTCAAAAATTTGCTCAAATTTGCACCAGCTTAACTGGAAAGTTCAGTTTTTTACGCCCTGCACAGTTCACAGTATGACATGGTAGGTGCTAAGATATATGAAAGATACCTTTTGCCAGATAGCTACCAAAATGTGATCTCTTGGAAAGGTCGTACTCATTTTGAAGTGTTGTTGTTTTTCAGACCTGATCTTGAGCTCCAATTCAAGTGTTATCATCATGAGGATAAACAAATGTACACCAACTGGCCAGCGTCAGTCACTGTCAGTGTGAATGCTAATCCACTTATTATTGAAAGGGTGAGTGCAGTGTATCACTATTGAACTGATTTTATTTTAAATTTGTCACTTATACAGGTCTTTTTTACAATGCTGCCTTTGTATGATCATTGTATGTGTACCACATTATCCTCAAAGTTAATTTCTTGACATTTGTAGATGTTCAGTTTTGGAACATAACAAACAAGATGAGTAGCTGAAATTGGTTTTAGCTATTATGGCATTAGCCATTTTTATTGCCTTGTTTGTGCAATGGTTATGTTAATTGTAAGAACATAATTTTATCAGCTTGTGTGCCCACTAAAACCTACTGTGTCAAGAACCCTGCAATTACACAAGGCAGAAAGTTTCAACTCATCTTTACATGTGATGTGACATTTTTTATTAATTTAATAACACGTATGTGACTAACAATGTGCTTTTCATGTACATTGCAGCAAGGGGACAACAAAACCTCGCATAAACCTCTTCATTTGAAGAATGTGTGTAAACCTGGCAGGAATACAATACAGATAACAGTAACAGCATGCTGCTGTGTGAGTAGGAATTAACAATTTTGACAGAAAATTTAAACTGTTTGCAAACTTTCAGTATTGTAATAGTACAATGACAGTGCAGTAAGTTATTGTTGTTTTCTTTCTTTCTTTCAGTCCCACCTCTTTGTCCTTCAGCTGGTTCACAGACCTTCAGTCAGTTCTGTTTTACAGAGCTTGTTGCGTAAACGCCTACTACCAGCTGAACACTGCATCACAAAAAGTGAGTCCCACAAATCATACCAGCACATGTGCATGTCTTGCATATTAATTTAAGAAGCATCAATCTGTTGCAAGTAGCTGTGACATATGCTGACATTTATGCCATTTACTTTGATCGGCAGTCAAAAGAAACTTCTCGTTATGTTCATCTGCTGTTGGCGGCACTGATGACAGTGTGGAACAAACAGCTATCAAAGTATCCCTAAAATGTCCTATCACATTCAGAAGAATAACTCTGCCAGCCAGAGGCCATGATTGTAAACATATCCAGGTATGTAACTTTGCTGAACATGCATTGTAAGACTGATCTCTGATGACACATCTTAGTTGACAGCTCTCAATGTTGTATTAATCAAGAATAATATGCAGTTATTGATACTGAAATGAATAAATTTTGACAAGCATCTTTTTAATTACTTTTCTGCGGAGGCTATGGATGACCGCTCGAGTTAATCCTTATTTGTCTGCGCCTGATTGTCTGATTATCAAGGATTAATTAGGAGAAATGTCTAAAATTTGACAATACAATTTTTTTTTTGGGGGGACTTCAAAAGCAATATTTAAATTATTGTCCAGTTTTTCTTATGTACAAGTTCAATTTGTTATCTATTTCTCTAGTGTTTCGACTTGGAATCATACTTGAGATTAAACTGTGAAAGAGGGAGCTGGAAGTGTCCAGTCTGTAGGTGAGTCTGTCTAGACAGAGTGTTGGTAACCGTAAATTATTGATTTGACAGTTAGGTCACTGATGATGGCTTTATTGAAAGAAGAAACGCTACAAAATAATGTTTGATAGTGTATTTACTAGCATTAATAAAGTGTAACTTGGACGTATAAATAAAAGAATGGAAAGGAAAGAGGTTTTTGTAGTTCTGACACAGCTTAAGCAGTTTCTCAGTCACACAAAACGTATATTTATTTGAGGTACTGCTGATTGGGCTAGTTGAAGCTGATGCTTAGAGGATTTTTCACTACAGTCGACCACCTTGAGTCTTGGTAAACCAGTTTGTACTAGGTAAAGTTAATATGGAATTTCTCATTCCTTCATTTTGCAGTAAAGTTGCCCTTTTGGAAGGACTTGAAGTGGATCAATACATGTGGGGAATCCTTACAACTTCCAGGTGGTTGCTATAGTTACCATTTTACAAATCTATTCAAAGTGCCTTACTCTTTGTACGTGACTGAAAGGCCAAAAAAAGATCCTGAGTTTATTTGTGTTGAGTTTGGCTTACATGTATGACAAGCTCTTCAGTTATCTGAAAATTAAATGCCAGAAATTCCAGTCTGTAGAATGTTTTCTGACAATTCCACTTTTGTGGCTAAAAGGATAAAGGATATTCCACATTAACCATAGTGTCATTTTCTTTTTCTTTCAGTACGGATGTTGAAGAAGTAACGTTCGACCCTAACAGTCAGTGGGAGCCTGTTCCTGTCAAACAAGAACCAAAAGATGAAGAGTGTCAAGGACCACAGCCGGCTAAGAAGGCGCGTCCTTCACCTCCTGATTCATTACCTCTGTCTGGTGTCAGGACACCCACATCCCAAATGTCCAGTAGCAGTGGACACTACTCACCTTACCAAACACAACCACCGTCGAATCCTGGTATGGGTGTGCCCACTCCACCTGGACGGACACCTCCGGAGACGCATGGTCCATCTGGTGGAGGTCAGTTACAAGAACATAACCCCAGTAACACAGGAACTACACAGGCGGCGACCACATCCAGTGGTGAGTGGACAGACATTGTGATCTTCCATACATGTATATATTAACTTGCATTCTTCTCTATCTACAGGTATACATGTATACTTCACTATCTACGGGTGTACATGTATACTTTACTATCTACGGGTATAATTATAAGGAACTCGTAACGTGACCAGCTCCCAGTTGGCTTGATAGCTTAGTTGGTAGAGCACTGCACCTTTCACAGCTGAGTTAGTTTGTGTACATAACTGTGATGAACGTTCATGTCCTTAGACATTGTAGTGTAAGGAAATGCTGCACAAAGCCAATGGCCACATTTCCAAGTTTTTGCATTTATGAGGAATTTCTTGCGTACTAAATACTGTGGCTTTGGATTTATTTGTGGGAAATTAATTTTCAAGAAACTCTTTTTTCTGTTATGCTAATAGTGATTGTCATTAACATCTATTTAATTTTATTTAATCGTGGAAGTGAATGGACTATTTTATGTTGCACTTATTCGCTGCTCATAATGTTAACATCTGTTATGTTAACATGAACAACCCCATTGCATTCAGCTTTTCTTGAACTTCCCTTAACGTCATTATACACTGTACACTGTAAGTGAAAGGACCCTAGTCAGCCTCTACCATTTTCGAGGCCATCAAAATTATTGATATTGCATGGTGAAGCGAAATCGTATTGCTTTACTGCAAGTTGTGTTCCTGAAAGTATGTAAGTAGATAAAATTTAATAGCCAAACCCTTGCATGTAACCAAAAACAAAGGTGTGGCTGAGTAGGGCCCTTTAATATATCTATTGCCACCTTGAAATGTTACATTGAGCTTACGCTTTGCTATTTGATTTATATTGTATCTATGAAGTGATTGAAAGGGACCTGACAGGGAATTGATTGCAAAATCTAGAGAAGCTAGAGGCTGAACTAAGACAGGTATTGTAAAACTTTATCTCTCAGGTGATAAGATGACTCCGAGTCCAGTCACAAGTCAAGCCACGACCCAAAACAGCAATCATCCCAGAGGTCCTTCCACACCTCAAACTCCAGGGAGTCATCCCGCTCAAAAAGGGGCCGCAGAAAGAACACAGCACCCCTCAGTCCTATCCCAGGCTCCCGTGTCAGGCAATGCTGACAGTATTGCAGCTGACCTTGAACACGACAATCTTCCGGATGAGTTTAACTTTGGTGTCCTGGAAGATCACAGTGGGGGAACAGATGGAGTGGAAGGCGCTTTAGATGTAAGTTAATACGATACACTTTAGTCAAGAATGAAAGGCTTAAAAGTAAATGAGGAGAAAATAATAAGAGGACTTTGTTAATAACACAAAGCGTTTTGCTCACGTGACTAGTACACATGCAAATTTACTGGAACAAAAGGAAGTCTTAACATAGAAAAAAAGGGTTCAACTCCTGTAGGATTGGTTTGGTAAACCAACATGGCTGTCGTTTCATTGTTCTGGATCACTGATATGGCTGCCATGACGTCATGTGAAAACGCTCTATATACAGTCAACCTTTGACAAATTAGTCTTAATTTTCTCAATCTATTTTGTATCAATTCAAGGTACAGTATTTGACCGTGTAGCTTTCGTTTCCTTACCCAGAGCGCAAGTTTTCATATAAAAGCTTACAGTGCAAGATTGAGCAAGTATTTTCGCATGCCTCTTATGTGCCCACAAAAGGAAACCACCGCTACGCAGTCTCTTTATGCGGGGGTAAACGTTATAAATGTGCCGTAGTTTTCCCAAACAGTAGTGTGGATCTCAGTCGTTAGTTGACCTTTCGTATTATCTTTCTGACTTAGTGATCTTCCTGATCTTTTTCAGGTTTTACCAGGAACTCTCGACCCTGAAGAACTTTTTAACTACCTGACGCCGTCAGACCTTCCCAGCGAGGACATCTTGTCCATGTTCGAGTAACGGTGTGCTGGTGTTGTCGTCGACAGGAGAGGCCATACTAGAAATTTTTACTTTGCTTCTCGCAAATAAAACGCATGATTCATATTTAGGTAATATATTATGTCTACTGTACGCAATGCATTGATTGTCTTTGTCGCGCATAGTATATATAAACTTATTCTTAGTAGAAAGTACTTTATTGTCATATTATAAGTTAGGATTCAAAAGTATTAGATCATGTTATAGAATGGTTTGTTCGGTTTTAGATTATAGTTCTACCTAAAAATCGTTTTCAGCAATTAGTAGCGATATTTTAGGATTTTTTTGAATGATTCTTTTGTTTTTTTTTTTATGATTCATACCTCTTCGATGATTTTGTGTTTGTTTTTATATAAGAAAAGTCATGTTGTAAAGCAATGGCAGAAATTTCTCAGTAATGGCACAATTTTTATCCTGGAGTTAACGCGGACATGTTTTTACAAGTGATGCAGCTAAAGGTAATCTTATTATAGTGATGTAGAAGCTGTGATTTTGGGTCAAACTCAAGAACAATAATTTTATTATGCAAAGGACTAAATAGAGTAGCTTTTGCCTGATGTGAATAGTACGAAACAGACTGTTTTTATACCATGCACTCGAGGTGTGATGGACAGAGGGAATTATTAATTATTCCAACATTTGGAATACATTTAGTAAATGCTATAATATATGCATAAATAAATTAAAGGGGGCATGCATCCCTAACTGTACACACGCATAGATTAATAAAAGTAGTATTCTTTCTTTTTGTTTTTAATTGGAGGGATATATAAATTTTAGTTCAATAAGTGCCGTAAAGTTGTATTTGAAAAGAGCCAGTAATATCTTATAACTATTATGGGAAAAATGATTTCCAGTTGCATAATCATTAGAGAGAGAGATGTGTAAGAGCTTTTTTTGCAGTCTCGGGGGCAAAATATTTCATTAGGCACATAGGAAGAACCAAGCTAACAAATCCAGTCTTTCTGTCTCTCTCGTTCGTTGTTTGACCTGTTTCCCTTTGAATTCTATTGCCTGGCCTCTCAGAATTAACACTGCTGGAATTTGGGAAGCTCTTTTATACCAAACGTTTTTCACTGCTTTATGTTTGAATCATTCACCTGTCACTGAAATGCGTCTTGAAGATTTGTGATTTGATTTAGATCAAATCCTGCGTCTCGGTCTCTCATCACTTTTTGTTTCCGATTTCGTGCTGTACCTGATTCTAACTAAGAAAGTGCAAAAGAAGAAACGTTTATTATTGTAAATATAGAAATAGAGTACAAAAATGTCAATGATGTCTTTTAGAATATAGAATATAAGCTGAGTGAATTAGTTCTTGATTTTCTTTTACTAATCTAAATTAACCCGTTTCTACGTATGACGATATTTTGAAATAAGTTACTGATTTACTAACACTTTTTGTGGTTTCTTTTAAACTTTTTGTATTTCTTATCAAGTCTTACTTTTTCTGAGATCTGTAAAATGTCCTTGTTCTCTGAGAACTTTTTTCAGTCGGGTTTAGCTGTGTAAAGCACTGGGAACTCGCAAAATAATAGCTCTTTTTCCTCCTGCGAAGTGCTATTTTTTAGGATGTCTTGTTGCTTCCAAACTGGTTTCAAGCTTTGTGGACGTTTCTCCAGAAGACTTTTGATATCAACCGCGAACTACCACGATCTCGATTTCACTCTCCTCTCGTATTTTTGTTCTACTTTTGAAAGCACGTTTCGATCTTCTTGAGACCACTTTTCATTTTAGCTAAAATGCACGCGAATAATGTGGATTTTAGAAGAGGTTAGCCAAATTCGTCAGCTTTAAAAGGCGGTCAGTGATTGCTTAAAACATGGCTTTGTCGTGATCAAGTCTTGAAAGTGCCTGTACGAAACCCGAGAGTAGACATTGCGCCACCGTTTTGAACTTCCGATAGACGGTTTAGGGAGAGGTCGGACGGTCCGCAGACCGTATAGTGTACATAAAAGTTAACATGTATTTATATACTTATAAATATTGTATATCTAAAATATGATTTAGCCTCTGTAAATACAGTACAGGCGCGTATATGTGGAAAAATGAGATTATCAGTAGTAAACTGTCCTGTGACCGTTGTTTTAGCCCGTTGGCTATGCTAGTAAACGGTTTAATTTATAGAAGTGAAGTTAGTTTGGATCACATTTAGTGCAAGTTACCAGATGAGCATCACTTTGAAACAGTCGTCTGAATTGATGTTTCTTTTGAAGGGAATCGATTGGGTTTCGTTAATATGTTATTCTCGAGCTGTAAATGCGTAGCAAGATAATTACCATCGTATTAATACAAAGTTCGTTGTACCGTGAAGGAAGGTTGTTCCGTACGCTGTTCAGAGTAGTGTGTTAGCCCTTTGAGTTAAAAGCTAAGCAATTCGTCGTCCCTCTTGTTCTCGTGTAGTATCGATAGTAAAGTAGATTTTATACTTATTTATAACCTGAAGTTTACAACTACAGTTCTGTAGTGAAGAACAAATTCTTACGAAGAAGGCTATGATAGACTTATTAAAGCCGCCTGTATGTGTAGATATTCTATATCTAAATTTTATAAGAAATAAAGGCCATGCAGTCAACTGAGACGTGGTTAGTTTTGTGGTGTATAGGGTCGGGTGGGAAACATTTACAGTTCAGAACTTATTTCAGCCAGTGAAAGTTGACGCGTTTTGGAGTTACAACTGCATCCTTTCACTTCTTCCCTCCTTAAATCTCGTACCCAGGTGTCACTCTGTTCCACCTGGCCTTGGGGGATCTGGGTTCGATATTAAGCCTGCAGTGAACTTCCCTGAAGAAGTGGTACTGGGAATTTTTAGGGATTTTTGGAGGGTCGTATCTCCACGGTTCTCGTAACCCTGATTCAGTTTCGTCACCAAAACGGATAAATAACCAACGGCCTCCACTTGGCGCGAAAATGTGTACGGATATTTGTCCGCGGACATTATCTGTTCTAGGTAGCAAGCAGGTTTCCGAGAGCGCACTGTGAACTTTGAGGAACAAATAATGTCCAAGTGACCAAAAGAAGCGGAGGCTCTAGGGACGAGAATGTCTTAAATTGAGCCAAGCGTTGTTAGTTGGGCTTGCACGGTTCAACTGGACGTCTGATATTTTCGGGCTTGCAATGACACTTCCACCCTCGTACCCAGCGTCTTCGTTACCCTTGACCAGCGATTCGGAAACTTCCGTCAAGCCATCATGCCTAGTAGGGGACAAAGACTTGAACACTTCCCCAATCTCGCTCCGTCCGCGTTTCCCTTGTCCCGTAACGCGGACTATGGGAACGAGATTGACACCTCCCATTTTAGACCCCAGAGTCATTCTCTTTTGCGCATGGCTGATGGCGCGAATAGCTCTGGGGAACCCAATCTCGTACCTCGACTCCTCGAGTTTTCGTTCCCGACCGCTGGTCAAAGGGAATGCAGACGCTGGGTACTAGGGAGTGGGGAACCCGGCAAAATATATAGTCTGTCCTAGTTTCCATTGAAACAATGAAAGCACTTCATTATCCATGCAGTCCCTTATTGAAAGAAAACAATTGCTCAAACAATAGACTAGGACAAAGCCAAAATTTAAGAATTTCGAGTTAAAATACGGAGGCTCGAGAAAATGTGACGAATTTTAAAACATGTTAGAAAATTAATCAAATTTGTGAGCATCAATTCATAATATAGACAAATAAGATTGAACAATACATGTGATGGGTTCCTGAAGGAGTCCATTGTAAATCCAGCAGCACTTATTTTGGTTTCTACCAAGCATGTGCTGTGCGGCCATCATAGCCAGGATTTAGCTCCGTTTGCTCAGAGTTCCCCAGAGCTTCGTATCTTGCTAAGTTCAGAATGCGAGGGTCTATGGTCGAGAATGGAACACCTCCATCCTTTTAATCTTGGCATCCTTCCTCCTTCCAATCAGACGGTAGGTACTTAATATATGATACGGTCTTAATGAACGAAGGCTCTGGTTTATGCCCGTTTGAAATGAGAAGGATTACAAGCCATCGGGTCACGTTCAATTGCATTTCCAAAACTTTTTTAATTCTTTAACTTCCCTAATATCTCTCTCGTTCATTGGTTCTCGTTCAATGAACGACGAGTCGTTCAGTGGCCTGAATTTCCTGCTATAGTTAATTTTTTCCCGCTCTTCCGAGTTTTTTTTTTTTTTTTTTTCATTTATACAGTGCCAGTGTCTTATTAAAGGCATTGACTACAGAACTGTAGAGAGCTACACTTTTACGATAACTGCAGAAATTCTTGCGTGCCCATTGGCTAGTTTTCATAGTCAATAAGTAGACAGACACATGAATTTATAATTTATGCGATGCGTCAACGAGCGAGAGCGGACAATTTGACAATTTGTTATTGCAAAAAATAAATTGACGTCAATTTTTATATCGTCTGTCCTGTTATTGACAATGAATTTCGTCATCACTGTTGTTAAAACCACTCGGCTATGGCTTGGTGGATCCAAAGCTACTTTGACCACGTTATGACTAACCTGCTATCAGGCGTTCTTTCTTTTTTCCTTTTTCCTTTTTTTAATTCATGATCAATAACAAGTCGGACGCGTGAAAAACTGACGTCATTTTGTTATAGAATGTTTGTTCAGCCTTCTAATTATAGAGAATCACGTGATTGGAAGGAAAATGGCCGTGTGATTTCCTTTGAAAACCTGGCGCTAGCCTGTAATTGGCTGAGCGGTCACCTCACAATCAACAGAAGCGGAAGGCCCGATTGTGGTGTTCGAATGACGAGGGTTTTGGTCGTAAAATAGTCTTTCTGTACTCAAAATTTGGAAATGTTTAGCCTTCAAAGTGTTAGTTCTTTAAGAGGTGTCTTCATTAAGAGCACGAAATGCCTTCCTGCTGTTCAAAATGTTGTGGTGAAGATGTCCACCAGTTCTGATCCCAAAGATCCGTCCTTCACAGAAATGTGCGAAGGCTTCTTCGAAAATGCAAGAAGCTTCGTGGAACATAGGCTTCTGACGAAGCCAGATCCTCCTGGTTACCGCACAGAAAAGTTTGAAGACAAAAAACACAGAATAAAAGGTAAGATTGCGTATGAATTTCATTCTTTCTTTTCCGGTGAATCGGATCAATGAAGTTGATACAAACGAAAACTTTATGGTAGACTGTTAACTACTTGTTAACTTAACACAATTTCTTTGCTCAACAAAAACAGTTTTGCCTAGATCGATTTGTTTGGAAGTTCCTTTCTCTACCGATCAGTAGAAGTCTGAAAATTTCAAATCCCCTATTGACACCGGCCTGTATGTCATCCGCTTCACCTTGTGACATGAGACCAACGCACGTCTTGGAACATTTTAGCCATGTAATGAAACACGGGGCTACTTTTACTCTTCCCGCAAGTTGTTGTTTTTGTCGTAAAGAAATCACAACGTTATTCACTGTTATTTTCAAGCGTTCTTTTTGGTTCAATGGAGACGACGCTCTTACGACATCGTTTACGCCCCCTCCAAACCTCCGTCTGATCCAAATATGGGCAGTCCTCGTGGCAATACTTTCCATCTCATGTTTATTCATTCCTATCAACTGACTAATGTCTTATTTACCAAGTACAGTGTAAGTGAAAGCAATGTATTATACTGTCATAAAAACAGGAACTTAAGAGCACAAGAGAAATTCAGGAAACATTGATTAGAGCCATTCAGGCAAGTGTTCCCAAGTTTTCTCCAATGGCTGTAGTTTGCTGACAGTAAACAAAAACATTGCTTTGGCTTAATTCTTAGTATTTTTACATACATGTTGTACAGTTGAACTTCCCCACAACAGCCATCCTGTGGCAGAATTATCTGGCTGTTGAGGAGATGTGACTGTTGTATGGACATTAAATGTTTTAATTGGTAAGAGTTAAGAGTAGATTTGTATACAGTCAGGGCGCAAAACTCTAACGCTGTTGTGGAAGCATTGGTTGCTATATAATAAACAATTATTGGATGAGGTTTTTGTGATATCCAGAGTAATCAAGGTCGAGGTAGAGGAAAGCATAAGAGAAACGCAATCAAAGAGAAATAAGAGATAAGAGAAATGCAATTGTAGATTGAACAGAGTTTGTTTGTTATTGAAAGGTGCAGTAATCTATAATTTTGAGCCATAGTTCAGGACTACAATACAGGCAGTTGCCTGTTAGCCAGTAGCAACTTAAAATGGGCCAGTGATACTAATAGTTGAGGTTTAATCAATAGCTGGTTTTCACATGACGCGACTAAAATTCAAACTACAAAACTATTGATCTTCCTGAGATTTAACTTTAGTGATGTATAAGAACAGCTGAAAACTAATATTCAAACAAATTTTCGCTCCGAATGGGTTCTTGGTTTTGTGATACACTACACTCGAATTTCTAAGCTTTTGCATGACGCGGCATTTACATGACGGCTTAGAGAGCTGTCATTATGGTTTAAAAAGTGACTTATTTTGGGAAATTTGGATATCTGAACGGTTCATGTGTAAGAAGAAGTATTGTTTTAATGTTTTAGAGTTCCTCGAGGGATAAATTCAAGCTTCTGTGGCAAAACTCAGTGACAGATGTTTTTGTTGGTTTCCGGCCGCCATGTTGGTGCCCATCTGTATGGGCACCAGTGTGGCGTCTCCCTACAAATCTCTATAAATTTGTGTAGAATCTTTCTCCGCATATCTTGGGGAAGAAAAATTGCTGTGACCAGAATCTTGGCGAGAGTCTTTGCATATTTACCTTCTTTCATTTCCCAGATTCTGGACTTAATCTATTGAACAGTTTTGATTATTATTTTGATCTATTTTGAATGGCGTGACACTGAAAACCAGGAATATGCGACTGTCCCACGCATACAAGAGGAGTTTCAGCGTACCACAGGCATGAAGTTGTAATAACAATAAAATTGCCAGTATGTTTATTTATAATTGGATTGCCTTTTTTTCTGTACTGAACTCTGATTTAATTTCATCAAATTTGGTCTTTAAATTTTTGGCTCTAAAATAAAATTTGCAAGCAAGTTTTGAGTAAGTTGTCAGGGCATGGTTTGTTATTGAACTGTGTTCAATGAGGTATTTATTGATTATTATAATACAGTAATGATACAGTAGTCAGGCCACTTTGTTTTGTCCTGAGTCAGTCCATTAATTAAGTGAAACTTGCCTGACTGGCCACCAAACACTGGAGTTCACTTTTAGTCCTATGGTAATTTCTGTTGTGAACAGGAACAACAGCTCAATGAAGTCAAAGTTTGGGCTATGCTAACTTTCTTATTAATTTTTACAGGAACTCTAGATGTTATGAAGCCCTGTGCTGATGTTCTTTCAGTAATGTTTCCAATCAAAAGAGATAATGGTGAATTTAAACTTATCCAGGGTTATAGGGCACAACACAGTCATCACCGAACACCATGCAAAGGAGGTTTGTAATGACACTGGTTTTACTGATTTCTAAGGTACAAATTACCCTGAAGTGCAGTGGCCTTCTGGTTAGTGCGCTTAGCTCTGGATGGAACAGTCCAGACTTGAGCCCTGGTCAGGGACATTGTGTTATGTTCCTGGGTGAGACACTTTGCTCTCATCCAGGGGGAGTAGAAATACTCCTAGGGCATTTTCCATTTACAAAAAATTTCGGAAAATTTCTATTGGGAATTTCCGTTTGGGAAAAGCGTGTTTCATTTGTCACAAGTCCCATTCATTCACAGGCCCTTCTCTGTTGCTTCTCTGAATCTCCCATGAATATTCAAAATGGAGGCCAATGAGGCCCATCAGATGTTGTTTTTGTGTGGAATGTTTCAAGTCTCTATAGAGGGAGAAAGTTTGATTAATTCAGAAGACGATGCAGTAGATATCTTTTCAGTGGCCTCGACGTTCATGAGATGGAATTTGCAACAAACTGAAGGCTATTTTGAACAAGCATTGCCAGGATATTCACTCGATGAGTTTAAAAGTCATTTTCAAATGACAAGAGGAAATGTGCAGCGGCAAAAAAAGCTTAGAACAAGCAAGAATTTCTACCTACCACTTTTATATGCAGCACATTTGTGCTGCAATAAATTTTCTAGATCTGGCACTAGAACATGGCAGGCAGAGCACTCGTAGTAGCCCTGAAAGTTTGTTTGCAAAAAGCTTCCAGAAACCAACCCTGATCAGCCACCATTTTTGTTGAAAAACAAGGGAGCTGAGGGAGGCCTGGTCGCTTAAAAGACCGCGAAAGGCATGGAACTGGTGATAAAGATGAGAAATCTGTAAATGGAACACAAATTTTCCATTGGGAAGTTTCCACCAGGAAAACGGGACTACCTTTTCAGGAATTTTGTTTATTCTGGAAAATTTCCAGTGGAACGAACCAAAAGTCGTGTTCCATTTACATCCCAACGGGAATTTCCGGAATTTTTTGGTAAATGGAAAATGCCCCTAGTCACTTCATGCTTCTGAAACCGGGGATATATTAGTACTGGCCTGATGGGCTGCTTGGCTTGGATGCAGACTTTAATGTAAAAATTGTGTGGAGCTTTCAAGGACATGCATTTTTATTTGTTTTAATTAATGAACTGGTTACAGATCTTAAAGCCAAAAGGCCAACTGTGACAGTTTGCATTTTTTTGTGTGTCGTTTTCGTAGGTATTAGGTATAGTGATGACGTTGATATTGATGAAGTGCAGGCGTTGGCCACCCTTATGACATACAAATGTGCTGTGGTTGATGTTCCCTTTGGTGGAGCTAAAGGAGGCATCAAGATCAACCCTTCAGAATACTCAGTATGTCATTGATAGAAATTACAACCCATCCACATCAGGCAACTTTTTGTCTATTTTGCAAAAATATATGCATACCATCAATTCCATTTTACAATTATCAGGATGGTGACTTTTTTTTTAGTCTAAGGTATCAAATTTTGTCAACCCCTATTAAACTTTGAAAGCACTCTTGTCCTGCCTCATTTCTCTTTTTGATAAGAGTCTATCCCCCTGATGGGCATCACATTCTCGGCTTTCAGATTTACTGTACCAAAGATAATCAGCAGGCCACATTAATTTTTGTCAAGTGTCAAAACCGACAGATTTGTCCCTTAATTTTAAGGAGAAGATCAGTTGTGAGTTCTGTGCATATTTTTGGCCTTGTAAATGCTAGTATTGTTTGTTTTGTTTTGTAATTTATGTTTCTCAGAATAAGAATTTTCTTTCATGACAGCAATCTGAACTAGAAAAGATCACAAGGAGATTCACAGTGGAGCTTGCAAAGAAAAATTTCATTGGACCAGGCCTTGATGTGCCAGCACCAGACATGGGGACTGGGGAGAGAGAAATGAGTTGGATTGCAGACTCATTTGACATGACATTAGGTAACTACCCTCTACCTAAATCATGAGCAGAATCATTTGATGGATCTGCATTCAATTGATGTAATACTTGTAATATAATTATAATAAGCAATAGAGGATTGCTTCCATGTACTAGCGTCTTTTACATATATGTAAACAGGAGGAGGGTTAAGAGAATTCGAGACAGTAACACTACTTTCAAGAATTCCCCCAACACTTTTGAGTGTTTAGACTAGAACATTATGTAAAGAGGGAAATCAGTGCTCTATTCCTTTTAGAAAACAAACTGCATTTACATATTCTCATCTAAACAAACCTATTGACCAGTGAGGGCACACATACTATCTTAAATGTGCTATTAAAATAAATAGATTGCAATATTGGAAGCCACTTCTGCTCAGCCTGAGCTGGTTTTCATACAGTTCCCCTAATCCTGATCTAATTAGAATTTGGAGATGTTGGTTTAAATTTTGTGGTGGGATGAAAACCAAGTTCCATGAGAAAAACCCTTGTAGCAAGGCCAGAACCAAAAAGAAACTTTAAAAAGTAAATAACCTGCTTTTCTTTTTATTATTTATTTTGTCAGGTTATGGTAACATGAATGCATATGCTTGTGTCACTGGAAAACCGGTTCATCTTGGTGGAATTCATGGAAGAATATCAGCCACAGGAAGGGTAATTTGAATTTGGGATTGATTTTACAGTAGTTTTAGTGTGATTTTCAGGTGATATAAATACATACACGTACTTCTTTTTTTTGTAAGTGAACTTTTCGGTTTGCAAGATTTTTTTTCTTTTCATTGTCTAACATAAATTGTTCAGTATTAATGCATGTAACATGACTGTAAATTAGACCATTAAGATTAATAAATATTGTGTCCATTTTTTTTTTCAGGGTGTTTTCCATGGGATAGACAACTTTCTTAATTCAGGTATTGAATTTTATTTGTTAGCATTTAGATTTTGAGCAACCATCAGTAACTGACATTCTCATACAGTAGTTGTCGACAGTGGTCAATTTTGATCCAGCTCTGTGTTATACATGTGCAGTTCNGGGGGAAGGGGTTGTGGGTACTCTCAGAAAAGTTGGGTGAGGGTGTGCAGCTCACTTCCCAAAACTCTTACCCTATTTATGACCAGAATCTGTGATTTTTGCTACCCTTTTTATGACCTAGCCAAAAATTTGACACCCTATTTATGACCATTGTGGCTGACAGAGTTGCCCTAAACATAAGTTATGAAGGACTTTTGTTGATGGTCTCATTGATAATGATGAAAAAGGAGCTTCTTCCAAGAAACATACCCAATTAAAGACTAGAGTGCTAAAACCATACCCTATTTAAGACCAAAATGGCCAAAATCGATAGCGGTACCCTATTTATGACCAAAACGGCTGAAAAACCCTATCCTTTGGGGCTGCACATACCTATATAACCCATATAAGGGAGTACCCCCCACCCCTGGTTCAACCTCCACTCTGACTGGGACACCCTTGACATAGGTACATGTATACACCCACTCCCTTTCCCCCATAAGTGGTCCCAGCCAGATACACTGTTAATAATAATTATGTTAAATAGTAATATTTTTTTACTGGCTTAAACACCATGGCCATCTTTCTGATGTTATAAGACCAACATCTCAAGAGCTCAGTGTAACTTTCACAGTTTGCTAATATTTGAGCTGTACAGTACATGTATGCTTTTGATCCAATTGACATGGGTATCATGACCATTGTGAATTAATTTTTATTGTTGTTGTGTTTTTATTGTAACAGTTGTATTTTATTCTTTTTCCAGAAAAATATTCTGGCTTAGTTGGCTTAGAACCTGGACTCCGTGGAAAAACATTTATAGTTCAGGTAATTAAAATAATTAATCTTGAACATTAAAAACTAATTGAACCTTTAATAATTTGGACTGCTGACTAGGTGCATTCAGAAAGTGCTATTTTTGAAAGTATAAAATATATATTTAAGCACATGTACTCAGAGAGCCAGAATTTTTATGTTGGGCTGAAGCCAGTTGCCATTATGTTTCATTTTTGCTTAACTTGTTTACTTAATTGATGATTCATAGGGCTTTACAGTTGTAGAATCCATAAACCTTTATAAAAATTATGTAATGCAGGGTAGTTAAGCTAGTAACAGGAGATTTGAGGCATTTGCCTCGGTAAAAAAGTTATTAATAAATATATTTACTTATTTCAAGTTCCCATAAGAGGTTATAATGCATTAAAAATAATGAATTAGTGAATACAAAATATACATGCATTGTATTGTTGTGGTCAAAGAATTTTAGTCCAGCTGTGGCTGTATTGTACTGAATACATTGTAAATATGTAATTGTGATGTCGATATGAACAGGGATTTGGTAATGTGGGTCTCCATACTTGCCGTTATCTGCACCGTGCAGGAGCCAGGTGCATTGGAATCATGGAGAGAGATGGAAATCTTTACAATGAAGATGGAATTGATCCGAAAGAACTTGAAGATTATAAACTGGTAGGAAAATAGTAAATGTACATGTATGTTGTACATGCAACAACCAGAGCACACTTAGATAAATACTGAATTTATCTACTTCTGTTTCATGGTGCTGGTCAAATTTTTTTATTCTTCTTTGAATTACATACTTGTAGGCTTAACAATTAATTTCTCTTTTACTTGTGTCAAGGACAATGATGGCTCAATTAAAGGTTTTCCTGGAGCAAAGGTGTGTAAACAATTGTTATTAATGTCATCTTCAAAACAACAGAAAGTTTTGAATCATCACTTAATAATTTAAGTTGCCATATAAGAAAACACGCACTAGGAAAAGGTTCTGGCTCTCACACAACACCTCTCCAGCTATTAAACAGCCATAAAACTACTAATAAAGAGAAAACAAGCAATCGATGATTCAACAGGAAAATTATCCAACTAAAATTTGACTCTAAGAAACCCCACTGAACCTTTTTTGTTTCCCCTACTCATTCAAATTTTAACACTCCAAATATTTTCTTCAGTATGTGCCTTTTCTTTTTTAAAAAGACCCCCCTTGGTGCTAGACTGGAGCAACAAAATGTTGTTTTGTGTTCTTGTTTCAGATGACCGAGGAAAACCTTTTGGAAGCTGAATGTGACATATTAGTTCCTGCTGCGAATGAGAAACAGATTACAATTAAAAATGCCCACAAAATTAAAGCAAAGGTAAGTGATTATTTACAAATACTGTACTTTATTTTTTACTTTTGTTATCCATTTATATTTGCATTTTTTTTCTTTTCAGGTTATTGCTGAAGGTGCAAACGGGCCAACCACACCAGCGGCAGAAAGAGTTTTAATTGAAAACAATAAACTTGTCATTCCAGTGAGTTTTAAATATCATAATTTAGCATTGACTTATCCTCTGCCATTTATTCAGTCTAACAAAGTGTCTTTTCTAACGCATATTCTAGATAATAGTTTTACACCTTGCGATTAAAGACTAATTAAACGTTCGGAACTTTGGAAACGTTTGTTCCTAAAGATTCTGGCTTTGTTCAACAGGATATGTACTTGAACGCAGGAGGTGTGACTGTTTCCTACTTCGAGTGGCTGAAGAACATCAACCATGTCAGTTTTGGACGTCTGACTTGGAAGTACGAGAAGGAAGCAAACTTTAATCTTTTAGGTAGAAAGCGATTTGTGTTCCTTGTTTGCTGAAAGGTTAAAATCCATCGCAAAATTAAAATAATTGTGTTTTTACTGGTCTCTCGATAGCCACAAAATCAGTTTATATATAATTTTGCCTTTTAAGCCTGTTTTTGGTGACCTTCTCCTCTACATGTAGCTGTTCTGTTTTGCGCTCAAACTGTTAGGCTGTGTAGGTGGCGCGGTGGCCTCATGGTTAGTGCGCTCGCCTCCTGATTGAACTGTCCAGGTTCCTCAGCCCTGGCCGGGATCATTGTGTTGTGTTCCTTGGCAAGACACTTTACTCTCATAGTGCCTCTCTACACCCAGGTGTATAAATGGGTACCGGCGAACTTAATGCTGGGGTTAACCCTATCGGGGGAGTAGAAATACTCCTAGTCGCTCATCATGCTACAGAAACTGGGAGAAGGGCCGGCCTGATGGGCCACTTGGCTCGTATGCAGCCTTTTGATTGATCTGTCGTACGCTAAAACACAATAAACACAATATTTTAACTGTCATTTTTAAAAATTGTTCTTTTCTCTCTCCCTCAACAGCGAGCGTCCAAGAAAGCTTGGAAACTCATTTCAAATCAAATATTCCTATCAGACCATCGGAGGGGTTCCTTCAAAAGATTGCAGTAAGTTAAACGTTCAAAATAATTGCAACAGTTTATAGACAAGTAAAATTCGCAGGATAGAGAAAAATTGGGCGAACATGTAAGAGCACGATTTTGGCGGGTTGAGCGGCAAAGCTGTGAGGAGAGAGTGGAGCGGACACCGTGTACTACTCGCGAATATTGTGCTCTTCGCTTAGTTCTTGCGTTCTTTCCCGTTGAATTAGAACGAAAAAAGACTGCTTACAGTCTATGCCTGTCTTTACCAAGGTGTATTTGGTCCCCCTCAGTGGATTAAAGAACGAGAAATAAGCATGTTTTGTGTGATTTTGTTTCATTATGCCCGCAATGTTGTATTTTTTGCTCGGTAAGAGAAAGATCAATTTTAAGCACTTGAACGCTAGTTGAGATGTGTGTGCGAACTCGGTGGGGGCGAACTCGCCTGGGTGCGAAACCTCAAGCTACCGTTTTGAAAAGTTGGCTTAAATGCGGCCCGTGCTTTTCTCTACACCTCTCCACTCCTACCCATTTTGAGCTCCAGTTGCTAAGTTTTTCTTATTTTTCCAGGGCGCATCGGAAAGAGATATTGTCCACTCTGGATTAGAATTCACAATGGAACGATCAGCCAAGGTACGTGGTCCCATACCGGTCAAATAAGGCGCGTTCCTTTCTTTTAGTCTACTACAGTCTACGTAAAGCTATGCGTTTCACTTACGTCTCAGCAAGGATTGTGCTAGTCTCCTACGCAGCCGTTATTTG